AGGATACTATGGAAATATTTAGGGCCAGCTCACGCCAAGTGGTAAGATCTCAATATATGTGTTTATGTGGGAAATTGGATATCAATATCTCCTTTTAGGAATGAGATATTTATAGAGGATCCTTGGGAAATGACGTATTTATAAAGACTCTTTAGGTATGAGTTAGAGATCCATAGAGTGGCTTGCCCTAACTTCACAACCAAGTTGTAAGTTTTTCCTCAATTTAGATATGACAAATTTGAAAGGAGATTGAGCTCTTAGAGCTAAGCAACAAATTTATAATTTTGTTGAAGTCTTTTGTGTGCAAAACTTGCACCAATGGTTGAAGTATTGTCATTGTACTAAAGTGAAGATTTGTAGCTTAATTCGTCTAATCATCACCCTTCTTAACTAACTTTCTATTTTTAGTTAGTTAGTTACTAGCATTTTTTTAGTTTAAATGTTCTTGATTCATTCTTAGATCAATTCATTCATTTTATTTTTCACTTGTAATCAATATTGAAAAGTTAAATAAAGCTTTTGGAGAGCTTCGAACACCTTCCTCAAAGATGATATATTTTGTGTTTGTGTTAGCTCTACTTTCTATTTATTGTTCCTCAATTTCTTTCATTCAATCATCAAGATTCAATTATTTATTATGATTTTTTGTTCAAAATCTCAACAAATTGGCGTAGTGAGCATTGAGAAGTAATGCATGGAACAAAACTTGATATTGAGAAATTCATCAGGATGAATGCTTTTGGTTTATGATGTTTGAAGATGTGAGCCCTTCGTGTTCAGAAGGGATTGCTAGAAGAGTTAAAAGATTCATATAAGATGGAAAACTCATTAACAAAGAATTAGAATATAATGATGATCGTGAAAGTCCATATTGCAATTATCTTGAGCCTCTGTGATAAGGTTTTGAGACAAGTCTCAAAGGAAAAAATTGTTGTAGGGGTTTGGGTCAATCTTGATGGTTCGTACCTGAAAAAATATTTTATATATCATCTTTATCTAAATTAAGCCTTATATTCTTTCCAGATGAATGAAGATAATTCTTTAATAGAGAAGTTGGATATGTTTAACAAATCGATACTTAATTTGGAAAATATTGATGTTAATATTGAAGATGAGGACCAAGGTTTGTTGTTTTTATGTGCTTTACCAATGTCACTTTCACACTTAAAAGAAACTTTGTTGTATGGAATAGAATCCTTGATTTTTTAATAGGTGCAAGTTGATTTGCATTCTAAGGATTTGAGTGAAATAAAATAGAAAAATTCTTCTTCAGTGGGGGTGAAGGATTGTCAATGAAAGGAAAATTATCAAAGAAAGATGACAAGAATAACAAAAAGAAAGGTCGCGACAAATGAGTTATGGTGGCGATGTACTTGCTATAAGGTGTTATCATTATAAGAATGAGAGTCATACAAGGAATATGTGTTATGATAGGTTGAAAAAACAATGGTGAGAAGAAGAATAATTTTAACACTGCCGATGTTCGAAATGGATATGAATCTACTAATGCCTTTGTAGCCTATAGAAATGACTCTTATAAGGAATAGGTCATGGACTCTTGGTGTACTTGGCATATGCCTCCAATAAAGTTATTGTTTGAGGAGTTATTTGATCAAGAAAGAGGATCAATATTGGGAAACAATAATGCATGTAAGATTGATGGTACTTGATCTATAATATTCAAGCTTCATGATGAAACTGTGAAACTTCTCACTGGTGTTAGAAATGTATCTGACCTTTATATGAATTTAATTTCTCTTGCTAAATTTGATAATAAAGGATGTGTGTTTAAAGGTTAACAATGTGTTATGGAAGTCATGAAGGGATGAAAGGAAGTTACGAGAGGCATTAAGAGAAATGACATGTAAGACCGAGGTATGGCACATTTGACTTAGCCATGCTAGTGTGAATGGATCAGGTGCTACAACTTCTACGAAATCCTTGACTAATACTGAGGTATGGCACATTATACTTAGTCATGCTAGTGAGAATGGCTTAATTTAATTAGGAAATAAAAACTTGTTTTGTGGTGATATGGTTGAGAAGCTGGGACTCTGAATTTTGTGTGTTTGACAAAGCTTGTTGGGAAAATTTCAACAAAGAACATCAAAGAACAAAATGATCTCTTGATTATGTTTATGCTGATCTTTGGGTGCTCTCAAGAAATCCGTCACAATCAAGCGCAAGGTGTTTCATGTCCATAGTTGACAAAAAATCTAGAAAATTATGGAAGGTTAAGAAGTTAATGAAAGATTAAGAAGTTAATGACACATAATGGCCTTGAATATTTATCTAATTATTTTATTAGTTATTACACCATGAATAGTATAGTAATACACAAGACAGCTTCAATAAGTCCTCAACATCTTGCTAAAAGAATTAACATGAAAACTCTGAAAAAAGTGAGATGCATGCTCTTAAGTGCTTGTTTGAAGATGATTTTTGGGCTGAGACTTTTATGAATGAATCATAAATGATTAATAGGTGTCCTTAAATTTCCTTGGGTACAAAGACACCTAAAGAAGCTTGGTCAGAACATCCTACAAATTTGGATTGACTTAAAGTTTTTGGTTGTGTTGCTTATGTTAATATTAGATAAGAAAAGTTGAAATCAAGAGCTCTAAGATGCATGTTCTTTAGATATCAAGAATGAGTAAATGCTTACACATTGTGGTGTTTAGAATTAAGACATGTGAAGTGCGTCACAAGTTATAATGTTGTGTTTAATGAAACACATGTGGCTTTTATGACAAATATTGCTACTAATTACCAATCAAATGCACAATACAAATAATTAGAGTTAAATATGTTTTTGGTCCTCCTAAATATCTCATATTAAACTTTTAGTCACTCTAAAAATTTCCTTCAAAGAATGGTCCTCCTAAAAAATTTAATTTAAACTTTTGGTCCGTCATGCCAAAACCGTCAATAAATTTGTCGCTAAATGAAAAATCGTTGCTAATTCTGTCGTTAAGTTGTAAAAATCATCGCTAAATTACAGGAGGGGCAAAAAGTTAAAATTAAAAATTTTAGTAGGACCATTCTTAGAAGGAAATTTTTGGAGGGACTAAAAGTTAAGTGTGAGATATTTAGGAGGACCAAAAACATATTTAACCCAATAATTTATCTTGGGAGATTTCATCGCGTGATAGACAAAGTGAAGGTGAAGTACAATATTAGATTGGAGTTTCATCACCTAAGCCGAAAGAAACTCAAGCTAATGAAAGTGCTGATGAATAACAAGTAGGTAATGATTACCTACTAATAAGGGATAGAACTAGAAGAGTAATTAAACCACCACAAAGAATTGACGAAGCATGTATAATAGCCTTTACTTTAGTATCTACAAGTGAGATTCTAGAAGAAGAGCAAAAAAAACTACAAATATGTTATGACTTTTAAAGAAAGTAAGGAACATAACTCAACTATGAATGATGAGATAAAATCTCTTCATGATAAAAACACTTGGAATTTATTAATATACATGCAGGTTCTAGATTGGTTAGTTCTAAATAGACTTACAAAAGAAACAAGTAGGATTTTAAATTGGAACCCTACTTTTCTAAAAGTTGGTTAAGTATTAAAAACTTAAAATCTAAAATATGTTTTTTTATATTCTTTACCATTGTAATTTAAATTGAATATAACAGAAAAATTGAAGATACGATTTGAATGGGAGAGTTTGTTTTTAAACAGAAATGTTTGATAAATATAAAAAAACAAAATATTGTTTATGATGATGTGTTAAATGTTGATTGAGTGATCGTGACTAGTCAAATACACCTCAAAATATTGTTATATTTTATTTTATAAATACATTATTACTTCTCTTGAAATTATATAAAATTTTCTTCTTTCCAATATCCTCTTTAAAATTTCTTAAAATGGCAGAGACAACTTTTGTATTTCCGGCAACAAAAGAGAAACAACAACTTCTCTTCCTTTAACATTTCTCGACTTACCTTTTGCAGGTCCGAAATATGTTGAACGTCAATTCTTTTATAACTTTCCTCATCCAAGGAATCATTTTTACCAAACAACACTTCCATCTCTAAAACATTCTCTTTCCCTTACACTTCAACATTTCTTCCCCGTTGTTGGAAATCTCCGTTGTCCTCCACCACCCCATAAACCTTTTATTCTTTGCACCCAAAATGATGCTTTAATTTTGACTGTCATTGAATCCTTGGCAGATTTCAACAATCTTTCAACCAATCACCCAAAAAGTGTCAAAGATTTTAGTCACCTTGTTCCAAAATTAACACAAAAAATAGACTTTGATGATAATGACACATTAATATTTTCTTTGATGGCATTGCAAGTATCTTTTTTCCCCAACCATGGTATTTGCATTGCCATCACATATTGCCATGTGATGGATGATTACTTTTGCAACTATTTCATGAAATCTTGGTCTTTTATCCATAAAAAAGGTGAGCTAATTGACATGAAATCACTACCATGTTTTGATAGAAAAGTCTTGAAAGACCCAAAAGGACTTGAAAATATTCTATTAAAAGGCTATTTTGAACAGAGGGAAACATGGAAGAATAGATTCCTTGTTCCAAGTAAAACTACAGAAGAAGAACATCAAGACTATGTTAAGACAACTATTATTTTTACAAAAGAAGAAATTGAGGGAATGAAAAGATGGATACTTAATAAGTGGAATACAATTTATCACGAAATCGAAGCACCAAAATTTCTATCTAAATTTGTGGTAACATGTGTTTTGTTTGGACCACTATGGTTAAAATAATAAATAGAAATAATGATGATGATAATTATGATGATGATGAAAAAGATGAGTATATTTTGTTTCGTAGGTGATTGTAGAGAGAGACTAGGGTACCCAATACCAGAGGGATATTTTGGGAATTGCTTAACATTATGTTTTGTAGCTGTTAGGAGAAAGGATTTGAAAGGAGAATATGGTTTTGTGAATGCTGTTAAAGCCATTCAAAATGCAATAACAGAGATGAAAAATGATCCATTGAAAGATGCAAAAGAATGGGGATGCTATGTTTAAAAAGGTTTTTATGTCTGGAAATCATTTGTTGGTAAGTGGTTCCCCTAAGTTTAATGTTTATGAGACTGATTTTGAATTTGGAAATCCTATAAAAGTTGAGATGATGATGCATTCATCGAAAGATATGTCTCTTGCTGAAAGTGGAGACAAAGATGGTGGACTTGAAGTTGGGTTGATATTTAAAACAGAGGAATTGAAACATTTATATTCTTTCATTGAACAAGAGCTTGAAGCTTTGAAATTCTAAAATATGCTACAATCATTGTTTTATTTATGTTATTTCAGATGATATTGAATGTTATATTTTATATTTATCTTATGTGAGATTACATCCTTTAATTTTTATGTTTTGAGATACTTATCCCATATATGTGTTTTTTGTAATATTATCAAATTATCGTGATTTTTTTTAAGAATTTGTTATTAACATCTTTTTTTCTCTTTAAATTTTGGCTTATCTGCATAACAAATCAAGGGTAGAAATGTATTATTGTT